GGCGTGCCCGACCTGAGATGAGGTCCCTTTCGGGATGGGGATCTGTGAGGACGAGGCGCCTCCAGCCATGGCAACGGCAATCCACCCTTAAACCCCTTCCTGTCTTCAGGGGCCCCACCCCTTCCCATCCGCAGGGGTCCCTGGCCTGAGGACCCCATTCCTCAGGACCCCATCCCTTCCCATCCTTGCCCTGAGATCCGACGTTGCCAAAAAATGCAACATCGCGAAACATTGTGCCCGGGGCCCTGGACCGCATCTTTCTGTGTCACTTTCAGAGTCGCGTCGATAAGGGCCCCGGGGCCCGAGAAATGGAGCGAAAACCCCCGCCGTGAAAAGAATGCAGCGCCAGGATCTCAGGGCAGGACCCCTTCCCTTAGAACCCACCCCCCGATCCCCGGCGTCAATTTTTTTTCGTGACGTCGACCCCCAAAGGTCTCGACCCATTCTCCAGCACAGGTTTTTCATCCTGAGTCGTTTTTCGCGCTCTCGAGGCCTGGTAAGGGCCCCCGAGGGTCGAACAAAAACAAACAACCTGCCGTCGTGATTGTTCACGACTCGAGGGGGTCTGGGCCTCTCCTCAGGGCCCCACCTTCGAGCCGCCCGAGGCGGAGCTGCCGGGCGCCGGCGCCGGCGGCCTCGCCCTGGGCCGCGCCGGCAGTCCGGCACCCTGGGAGGAGGCGGGCGCCGCAGCGGCGGGCGGCGGTGGGCCCGCGGCGCCGCCGCAGACAGCCAGGGCGGCGTTCATCTGAAAAAGGCCGTCGCACCGATACCAGTAGATACCCAGTCGTGGTCGCGTCGAATAAAAAATCCGGACGGGGGGGGGGGTTGGGCCCATTTTCGGCCTCGGGGGGCCCTCGCCGGGCCTCGGGACTGTCCAAAAACGACTCAGGATGCAAAACCGGTCCCGGGGAAAGGGTCGGGACTTCCAGGGACCCCCCGAAAAATTAAGGACGTCGCATGTCTGGGTATGGATGCGTACATGTATATGTATATATATACAAACATATTTGTATGCATGTATATATATATATATAGGTGTGTGTGTGTGTGTGATCCTGGCTGGGTCGAGGACTTACGCCGCTCCCCCCATATGTGGTGGGGCCCAGAGTTTCACAGCCGCGATATCTTCATACCGAAGCAGAGGACGGCATAATCATAAACTTTTGGCGCTCCGCGCGGATTTCTTGGATCCGCGCTGGACCCCCCCCCTCCTGGCGGCGCCTCTGGCGTCGACCTTGACGCGCTCCGTGCGCCAGGGAGGGGGGCCCAGCGCAGATCCAAGAAATCCGCGCGGAGCGCCGAACGTTTACGTTTATGGCGTTCATCTATATATATACACACTTCGAAAGATGTGTATACATCTATGTGTATATACATGCATATATACATATATACATACATATGAATATAAATATGCATGTATGTGTGATCCTTGGTCGAGGATTCACGCCCCTTCCAGATGGGATGGGTCCCAGGGTCCCACAGCCCCCCACCCCCAGATGGGATTGGGGGGTGACGACGACGCCGACGCCGACGCCGAGGTAAGACGACGGCGACGTCGACGACGACGACGACGACGACGACGACGGAGGACGACGGCGGAAGACGACGACGACGACGAGGACGACGACGAAGACAACGACAACGACGGTGACTCTGACGCCGACGCCGAGACACGACCACGACGACAACGACGACGACGAGATAAGACCGCGACGACGACGACTCAGAACGACGACGGGAGATGACGACGTCAACCACGACGCTGACGATTCGACGACGACCATTACCACCATTACGACGACGACGATTACGACGGCGACGACGACGGATACGACTGCGACGATTACGATGACGACGATTACGACTACGACGACGATTAGGACGACGACAACGATTACGACGGCGACGACGATTACGACGACAACGACGACGACGATTACGACGACGAAAGCGACTACCACGACGATTACGACGACGACGACGAGGATGACGACGACGCTTACGACGACGATGACGACGCCGACGATTACGTCGACGACGTGATTCCGGCGACGATGACGACGATTACGACGACGACGTCGACGTCGATGGCAACGACGACTCCGATTTCGACGTTGACGACAATTACGACGCCGACGACGGCGACGATTGCGACGACGACGATTACGACGACGTCGACTATTACGACGACGACGACGATGACGACCATTACGACGACGGCGGTTACGACGACGACGACGATTACGAAGACGACGGTTACTACGATGACGACGACGATTAGGACGACGACGCCGATTTCGACGACGACAAATACGACGACGACGTCGACGACGACGGGTACGATCAAGTCGACGATCACGACGACGACGACGATCACAACGGCGACGACTATGACGACGACGCTTACGATGACGAGAATGACGACGAAACTTTGGACGACGACGATTACTTCGACGACAACGATTAACAACGAGTGCGACGACGACGATTACGACGACGACGACGACGACGACGACGACGACGGCGACGGCGGCGCACAGGCGCGGCTCTGAGCCGGGACAGCCGCGCACAGGCATCGGCCCCGGGGGGGCCCGTTCAGCGGCACGCTCGGACCAGCATCTTTGGGCGCACCCAGCCGCGGCGTCGAAGAGCCCCCGGGAGGCCCTTGGAACGGCGCCCGAAGGCAAGCAAGAAGCAGTGATCTGCGGCCCTGCGGCCTCCCTCG